TCCCTCTCGCCCCCCCCTTCTCGGAGCGCCTCCTGCTGCTGCTTCCAGGTAGGGACCCTAAAGCCTCCCCCCGCCTCGCGCTGCTGGGCATGCCCCCACCCCCGGAAAGTCTGGGTGGCTTCGGGGGGGAGGGGCACGGGGGCGGCGGGCTCTCCTCCCTTAACCTCAGGCGAGACACGCACTCGGCGTTGCACTAGCTAAGCTCCTCGTTTTTTGCAACTTTGCACTGCCCTGCGGTTGCCCCCGTTTTCTTTTTGCTGTGAGTCTATGGCCATTGTTATTTTTTAAACTGCTGTCCAACAGCTGCGCCGCCGGTTGGTTCACAGTCATGCTATTGAACCTCTGGATGGACATGATGATTATTTTGGGGTGAGTGGGTTGCGGAATATTGTAGTGAACCGATGAATGATTACAAACTGATTATTTGTTAGGTCTTGTCGGAGCTTCCTATTACAGAAAAGAGAAGCATCTGATGCATTTGCTCACATGCCACTTTTGATTATGCATTACATGATTGTACAAAACAGAATCCTTGCAGAGGATGGAGCTATAAGTTGCTAGTAAAGGAAAGTGCTGTAGGAATCCAATGGTTTTTCCTCCCCATTGAAGTGATATATTTTTCCTCTGGTTAAGTTGAAAGCATTCCTTGGTGAACACTCACTCTAGGTCTGAGTGGATTTGTATTTTTCTTGCATGGCTAGGTTGTGCAAAACAGCAGCTATGAAGAAGAAATTGACACACTATGACATGCAGTTGGTTCTTCTCGTTTTATTGGTGGGGGTGCCAACAAGGTGAGCAAAACGTTTCATATTGCTGTTCAACAGAAAGGCATATTGTGTTTGATTTGTCATAGTCATTTCCTATAAGTGGTGATACATACTGGAAGGGGGCAATGTTTCCTAAAAAGTCCTGATTAGTTGTTTTAATATAACATTTGGCAAATTCTAGATCAGTGGCAGGAGGAGTTCAAGGGACAAAGTAAAGTTAATTTGTCTTAAACAATTTGCTACAAGCATGATTTGATATTTTTAATTCTACCACTTGAAAGATAAAAAATACACCCTTAAATATTTTCTTTGTAACATCTGAGTTGTAAGGGATGTATTGGAATTAGTATGTTACTGCCATTTTACATCATGAGCTAATCACTTAGAACAATGGTATAGACAAAGATATAGGTTGTTGTGAAGTCAAATATCAGACTACACTTTCTCAATAATGTTGGCATTTTTTAGTATAGATTTGTCTTTTGTTGTTGTTGTTGTCAACATAACAGACCCCAGAAATAATTTTTTAAGCTTTAAACCTCTAGGTGGAGATAGCATACAACTTCACAGACCATATAATAAAATAATAGACTGGTTGCTCAATCAATTTTTTATATTGTTGTTTAGAGATCTCAATTTCTGAATTGACAACATACCAGAAAGTAATTTTAAATATAATTAATTTAATGTTGCCTACACTCCCTAAATGTGCAATTATTTATCATGTATAACTTTATTTTACTTGCTTCAATTGTAAATGCAGTAGGTTTTCTGGATAATATGACATTCAAAATTATAAGGATCCATATGGCTGAAAATCCTTGCTTTTATTTTGGTCTAGTACAATTACCTGGTGGTTATCTTTCAGTGACTCGATAATTTCTAAAAATAGGATGTCTATTTTACCTCTTACCTAAATATGGTGCAGTATTAAAGTCATCAGGGACCCAATCCTGTAGCCCTTACTCACATGAGTAATCCCACTGCTATCAAAGAGACAATTTGCTTAATTAAAGATCTTCCATTTGAATAAACATTGTATGATTGCATTCTAAAGTGCTATAACTGGGTTCTTCAATCATATCTTGACTTAAAAAACTATTATGTTTTAACAAGAGTAATATAAAAGGCAGATATTCATGCTATTAAAAATTAAGCAAAGAAAAACAGCAATAGTAAGATTAAAAGCTCTGTGTAGAAATTTACATGTGACATTTTGGCGTTTGAGTTGTAAATGAACTGATTATGCTTGATTATAAGGGTAGTATCTTGGAAACCACAGACTGCAATAATTTACATTTAAATACTTCCTCCATGATGTTAATTGTAGGGTGAAAGGAAAATCCTTTCTTTGTTAATATTTAGGTTGTTTTGTCATAAATGTAAAGATGTTACCTAACTGCTTTTGCTGTAAGACAAAATGTTTTAATTTTACATAGTACATATTGTTCAACCAAAATTCCTTGATCAGCACTGCCATTGCAGAAGATAAGCACACACAAAAAATAAGAAATCTGAAAAACAAAAATGTGCAGATTTTTGAAAAATAGTTTAAACTGGTAATGTATCTAACATATGCCATTTTACTGTCCTAATGCTTTAACCTGGTATTAAATTAAGATGGTGTTCTGGTAACATTTATTTCACATAAATGATGCTTACAATTGGGTTGCACAAGAGCATTGAAATATGAAGACTCTATATAGGAGAACATACGAAAGGTATACAAAACCATGGATAGGGTTTCACACCCAGGCAATATGTTCAGCACCATTCTTGACTGGACAGCAGAATCACATTTCATTGGATTCATTGCTGTTTTCCAAGAAGAGCTGATCAATGGAGAGAACTAGGTCTCTTTCTTCACCAAGGAAGTCTGTGACACACTTAGGTTAATTTATAGTTTCATACTAACTTTTACAAGGTATGGTTGGATCATGCAAAACATAGGGAAGTACTCTTGTTATTTGAAAGACAAGAATTGTTTCTAAATACCATTTGAAACCCACAATAGGTCTTAGGCTGTTCACAGCTCTTGCCCAGCTTGCTTGCTCATTGTGCCCACCCACTATGTACTGACATCAGAGGACTCCCTGAGCATGATCAGTGGAGTTTTCCTTCATGTCAGTACTTCTGCTTGTATACATTATATGGCCATTGGGTGGAGGCATATCAAAAGTATCTGTTTAAAATACCATTTGAAACCCACAATAGGTCTTAGGCTGTTCACAGCTCTTGCCCAGCTTGCTTGCTCATTGTGCCCACCCACTATGTACTGACATCAGAGGACTCCCTGAGCATGATCAGTGGAGTTTTCCTTCATGTCAGTACTTCTGCTTGTATACATTATATGGCCATTGGGTGGAGGCATATCAAAAGTATCTGTTTA